CTCAATAGACTAGAAAGATAACTTGAATCAAATAAGATGAAATCTAATTGGGATGAATGTCAAATTTCTATAATTGGGTCAATAAAATTAAACTGCCCAAAAATGAGATGGCGGAACTATTGATTGATATAATTCATGTTAATTATATCTAGCGATTTTAGAGGGCAAGTTCAATGCAATCCTTGTTATTCTGTTTTGTTTTGCTTTGAAACTGGCCCCATGATTTCTTTTATTGGTTTAGGGAGCTCCCAGCGAGGGAACCCCTTTTTGCAATGCAGCTTGGCGAATTCTCTACAAATTAGAGTTTGAGAGAGTCATCTAGAATTGAAAAGTTAAATGAGAAGCTAAACTATTTCTCCAGGCTCACACGTCCAGTTTGTGTCAAAGGCAGGATTTGAACCCAGGTCTTTCTGCGAACGACCACGCTGCCTGAAATATAGAGTCCAAAACAAGGTAGATATAATCCTACTGAACTCTGCCCTCACTATTTTGAGTATTGCATTCAAATACATGGATCACATTTTGGAAAGAAAAAATAACAGCATGTACATAGCATTTTAAGGTTTGCAAAGTACTTAAATATATTAGCTCATTTGATCTTCACAGCTACCCTGGGAGGTAGATGCTATCATTATCCTCATTTTTACGATGAGGGAAGTGAGAGCTGAGAAAAGTCAAGTGACAACTGTAGTAAAGTTCTGAGGCAGGATTCAAACTACAATCTTCCTGATTCCAAGTCCAAACTTTTATCCTAGAAGTTAGGTGGTACCATGGAGTACAACATTGTACCTGGAGACAGGAAGACCTGAGTTCAAATCCAACCTCAGATACTTACTATCTGTGTGACCTTAACTTCTATTTGCCTCAGTTTCCTCAACTGTCAAAAGAGGATAATAATAGCCCCTATCTTCTAGGGTTGCTGTGGGGATCAAATGATATAATATTTGAAAAGCATTTAGCACAGTGCCTAGCACATAGTAGGAACCACATAAATATTCACTTCCTTTCTTCTGTCCTCCCTATCCATTGTACTATCTAGCTGCATGTAGTCTGAACATTTTTCGAGAAGGGTGAGCAGTATCATATGTGAGGATCATTGGAAGGAGCTGAACTATTTAGTCAGAAGAAAAGACTTAAGGGTCCATGGTAATTGTCTTCAATGTATTTGTAAGGTTGAAAAGGAATCAGCTTGGCTTGGCTTGGTTTGTTCCCAGTGGAAAGAGAAAGTAGGAGTGGGTGGACATTACACACAGAACAATTTCATCTTGATGTATAGAAATACTTCCATGCATAAAACTGGAATGGTTTTCCTGGGGAGGTAGTTGGGTCCCCATCAGTGGAGATCTTCAAGTGGAGGCAGGATGAGCACTTATTGGAGATGGTGCAGAGGGGATAGTCATGCAGTTGGGTTCCATAACTAATCTTTGGCCTTCCTTTTACTGGTTGTGCTTGTGATTCTGTGACTTATTATATCATTTCAAGATACCTCAGTATTCTCAATCTCGGATGAATAACGATAGTAATAACAATGATGATTGTGATGATGATGATGATGATGGTGGTGGTGGTGATGACGATAACAACGATGTGGATGATGGTGATGATAATAATAATGATGATGATGGCACCTTGCTTTTATATAGCACTTACTATGTGTCAGGCACTATGCTAAGTGCTTTACAAATATTATTTCATTTAATCCTCACAATAACCTTGGGATGTAGGTGCTATTATTAGCTTCATTTTACAAGTGAGGAATATGATTCAAACAGAGGCTAAATAACTTGCCTGGGTCACACGGGAAGTAAGTGTCTGAAGGCAAATTAAAACTCAGGTCTTCCTGACTCCAGTCCTGGTCCTCTATCCACTGAGCTAACTAGTGGCATCAATGGGTATATCCATTCCAATAATAAATGAAAATAATAAACTGTTAACATTTATACAGCAGCTATATTACAAAAACTTTTTCCTGACAGCAACTTTAGGAGCTGGTAATGAATATATTATTATCATCTCCATTTGGCAGATGAAGATATTGAGACCCAGAAAAATGAAGTCTATGGTACAATGGAGAGACTGTAAGATTTTGAGTCAGAAGACCTGGGATCAAACTGTAGCTCTGCCATTACCCATGTGACTTTGGGTAAGTAATTTTACTCCTCTGGGCCTCAGTTTCCTTATCTGTAAAATGAAAGAGTTGACCTGTGTGGTTCCTCCCAGCATCAGGGCCGGTAAGCAATGGAGTAAAGAACCAAATCCAAGTCCAGAGGTGATACCAAGCCACCATGCCACCTCTCATTGATCTGGTCTATCTCCTTCCCTTTTCTTGTTTGCGGCATTCCTATACACAATTTTAGATCTTGTTCATCAAACTTTTTTCCACCACACACGCATACACACATACACATATATACACATACACACACACAATGACATGGAAAAACTGCTCAGTATGGCACATTGCACAGAATAGGAACTTAATAAATAATAGCCGAATGACTGAAAGTATATTTATTATGTAAGTCAGATTGCCTTCTAAGAGGCAACATCCCGTCATGGATTGAGTCCTGGCATTGGAGACAGAAAGACCTGGACCAGAATCCCACCTGAAATTTCCTATATATGTGACCATGGACAAATTACCTAGCCTCTCACATCCTTAGTACACTCATCTGTAAAATGAGGACCATGATGATAACAATACTTATAACACTTACTCTCGCAGGATTGCTCGGATAATACAATGCACGTAAAGTGCTTTGGGAACGGCAAAAGCAACACGAATGTCAGCTATCACTATTTTTTGATCCAAATTTGTCTTGCATATGTTCATTTCTTTCCCACACAATGGAAAGCAATTTTATTACATGCCTAACTTAACTTAACTGTATCAATCCTAGCATCTCCAGAGCTCCACATAGGGACACTGCCAGAGCCCCATACACATATGCCATTACACAACATTCCTTCCCGTTTCTAGAAAAGATGTTTATTTTTAGATCTATATATAGATCCTAAGTTAAGCTGCCATGTTAAATCCAATGCCTTATTTCCTTCCCAGTCTCTATTCCACATCCTGCATATATATGTGTATGTGTATATATATATGTATACATATATATACACACACACACATATACACATACATAATATACACATATATGTATATATGTATATATGATATATGCATATATGTATATAATAGCATGAGACTGAATTTATATATATGAATACAATATATAAATTTAGTATGTATACATTCACACATATTTATACTTACATAATAGTATGAGACTGATTTTATATATAATATATACACACATAAATTTAGTACATATACATACACATATATATTTATACTTATATAAAATAGCATGAGACTGAATTTATAAATGTATAGAATATAAAACATAAATATACATTATATATAAACTCAGTGTATATATATATATAGATAAGAATTCAGTCTCATGCAAGTTCTTATAATTCTTTTTAAATAAAATTATATAGGTATGTATTAAATTAAATTTAAATTATTTTACTGACAGATGGTATCTCTGATTTTAACAACACTTTAGTGGGTGAGCACTATAAAGGACAGGGGCTAATTAACCTACTTTTGAGGCAAATTATGGGGAAAGGGTATTTTATGACCAACTTCCCCTCCCCTCTTTGCCCTGGATTGGCGCCTCCCTCCAGCAGGATTTCCATACACACATAGGCTATGATATGCTGGATACACTGAGTCTTCAGTGAACATCAGGTTTGTTCCCATTGAATTCTAATCTCCATAGATGAAATCTTTCCTTCCTGAAATCTGTGGCAAGATAGATGGCAAAATGATGGAAAAAGTCCACTGAGTGCTTTATCGACCTGCTTGTCAGCCCACGAATGGTGGGTAATAAAAATTTATGGAAAATTAGAAAAAAAATGTCACTTATTCTAGTTCTCCTGAAAGGGAAAACTGGTGCTGCATAGAGATTCTGCATTCTCCCCAAACCCCCAAAGCCCTAAAATCCCCACCAAAATCCTCAAACAGCAACTATTTAAAAATCTTGCAATTTTATTTGCATATAAAGGCCGCTAGATATAGAATATCACAATAAATTTAAAGAAACAGCTGCTTTCCTAAATTCCATTAACAAGATAATCATAAAATGGACTAAAGCCTGATAGCATTTACAGTGAAAAGAACAGAAATACCTATCTGCGACAATATTTTGTGCTAGCAAGATTGCATTTACACACAGTGCAAAATAAGAGGGGAAAAGAGAAAAAATAAAGAGACAATTCAAGGATATTTAAATATAAAGGACAACTAAGCCTTATTTTAGATCGGCTCCATTGCATCCATTTGATTCTATACATGTCAGAAACTGCACCTAGATTTAACGCAAGCTCATCGAGGCCTTGAGCACTGCTGGGAAAATGTGTTACATCTTTTGTAGTTTAGAGGTGCCGAGCAACATAACTCTGTAGCTGTTATGCTGGCAATATTAAATTCCTAGCTTAGTTATAAATGCACAAAAAATACTTATATATATATAAATTCATATTTAAAAGAAGTCTGCACTTACATGTTTTTTCTTTTTTTTTTTCTTTTTGCTGCATGAAACAAATGTTCTGTATGGATTTCATCCCCATATTCTTAAAGCTAAAATAATTTAAAAATGAACCAAAATAATAAGAAAGCATATCATCACAAATACCAATGCTGCTAACTAAACCACCCTTTGAAAGAGGCCAGAAACATCAGATCTGAGGCTCGTTCCATCCCCTTGATGTAACTCGTGTTACTGTGGGGAGGAAAGCATGTGCCTTGAGGTGCATGCAGAGATGACCCTTCAAAGTCAACTTCTATCCAGAAGTCTACTATACATCGGGGCCACACTTACAAACAAAGGACATCACAGAATAAAAATCAAACAGTACTCAACAGTTGTGCAAATCTGGATGATTTTATAAAAAAAAACAAAAAAACAAAAACAACACTGCCTCTGTCTTTTTTTTTTCTTCCAGCTTATATCATATAAAATAACATTTCTCATTTCTTAAAAGAAAGCTTGGCTGTCCTTTGGAGAACACTAATGATTTACAATGGCATGGTCATTGAGAAAACAGGAGTCCTTTTACAAATCCACAATGCTTTATCAATTTAAAACGGATGCCGCATTTCAAAAAATAAAAAATAAAAAAAAGAAAGAAATAGAAAAGAAAGGGAAAAAAAAGCACAACCTCTAGCGTCGTTTTTGTACCAGCAATTTTACAAAAAACTCACAGAATTTGGAAAGAAACATGTAAGAGAATGTAAGTTTAGAATTAGAAAAATGGCAGTTTATCAACCTTCTTTCCTTTGCTCCAATTGGGGCATTTAGAGTGCTTCATGATCCTTGAGGGTTTGGAAGGTCAAATATAATGGGGGGGTTGGTTGGCTGAAAGCTGACTGTACACGTTGAGGCGTTGATGTACGTTGTGTAACCATCTGTCATGATGCCGTAACCTGTGGGGAAAGTGGTTCATGCTGACTGTTACAGGCACAAATGGTGGTAACCTCAATGTAACTTCTGTAGGCTACTCAAGTCAAAGACCTCTTTACTGGTGGATAGTGGGCTGAAATTCAGGTGAGCTGCTCCAGATGTGAGCAGCTTCCAAAAGCTGCCACCTACTTCTTCTCTTTAAAAAAGAAATGTGTGTTGTATATAGTTCAAATAAAAAGGATTCTTTTTTGTTTGTTTGTTTGTTTCTGACTTAACGTAGAAGTTAGGACATAGGTTCCTTTTACCTCTTAGCATGGGAATGGATGTAAATCTCTTTGTTCCTTGTTTTAAATAATAAAATCTTAAGATTTAAAACCTGAAGGGACCCTAGAAGTCTTCTAGTTCAACTCTATTTTACAGATCAGGAAACTGAGGCCCAAAGAGAGTAGGTGACTTAAAGTCACCTAGCTAGTAAGTGGCAGGGTCAGGATTTGAACCCAGATACTCTAATCCCAAATCTGGTGCTCCTTTTGCTGCCTCAAGGTCTTCTACTTTGTGCAACAGCATTAACGAACAAAAGACCAAGAGATATCTCCGTGTGTTTTTATTTTGGCTGCCTGTAATGTGAGGCAAATAAAAGCACTTCCCGTGTACTATTTAAGTAATTGCTGTGACCTATAGAAAGAGGCTAATGAAATCACTCTCAGTGTGTGTGTGTGTGTGAGTGTGAGTGTATGTGTGTGCACACACGCGTGTGTGCACATGTGTGTATCCTTTAAGAGCTAGGTGAGTTGTGTCTGTGTGTGTGTCTGTGGGGGGAGTTTGGGGGAACCTTTAAGAACTAGGTGAGGAGTGTGTGAATGTGTGTGTGTGTGTGTGTGTGTGTGTGCTCACCTGAATGTGGCTAATGCACTATACCTGCAAGATCACATCACTGCTCCCCTTTCCCTTTCCTATGAGGTGTTTGCTCTTCTGCTGCTATGATTCAATTAGTCTTTTTAATAAAATTAATAAAATAAGATATTGGAATATGTCATTATGAGTTGGGGATTTAGGGACATTGGGAAATGGTTTGGTGAAAATCTACTTGAGGAAGATAGTAGGGTTTGGGGAAACCTTTAAGAGCTAGGTGAGCAGTGTGTGTGTGCGTGTGTGTGTTTTCCTAATGAAAAGTCTCAAAGTATATGAACCTACTGAACCTTCCGAGGGCTTAATGAGGGTCAATGGAAAAACCCCCAGGGGGAGTAGAGAAAGCATTTACATGGGCAGTGTTTAGTTCTGAGGTCATAAAGTCTCGTTATCGCTCTCCATCAAGATGTTTGGTATTTGCCCTCTTCCTGCCCTCTTCAGCTGTCTTAAAGGAATAAAAAAAAAAAGACAAGTTTATCTGAATATGATCTCCTCCCCTTTAAGCAAATTACTGTATGGGGATGTTAGTGGAACTCCCCCTCTTCTCTGCCTGAGTGAACTGAAGGTAATTTTTAAAAAAATTAAGAAGGGGGAAAAAAAAGGTATAGTATGTGGTTTTTTAAACTTGCTCTCAAAATCATAGCCATTTCCCCCAGAAACCTTGCTTAGAAATGAGTTAGAAAACGTGGCTATGCAATTCTTTCCAGTCTCCCTTGTTAATCACGTCTAAAAGCCTTCTCCTCCTTCTCTGAGAGAGCAGCCTCAAAGACAGGGCAGGATGGAGGCCTTGCTCTCTCTGAGGGCCGCGGCCCCGCTTTCTACCTGCTCAGCTGGCGTCTGCTCTCAGAGCAATCTGAATCTTCTCTTGGCTCTGTGGGGGGATTTTCAATATGCTCTTTATTACCACCTAACCAGGAAGCCTCTGGGTTTGTGAGCTTGGCAGAGCAAACTTTGTGCCTTTTTTTTTATCCTTGCTTTTCTGGCACGTGACCGTGAACATCCCTGCTCTACTGTGAGCATACAAAGAACTCCAGAGCTATGGCCAGGGAAAGCATGGAGATGGGATCTAACCAGCCTACTCCCCTGCCCAGCCCCATCAGTGCAGTATCTGGTAATGCAGGTGAAACCCTCATCTCCCTCTGAATGTGGGTCTCCGCAGTGGGAAGAAGCCAAGGCAAAGAAACTTCAAGGCATTTTTTAAAAAGATTAGACTGTGATCACCTTGTGAATAGAACTCCCTGCTCCCCTTTCAAAAGGTGTCTGGCCCGTGGTAGTTTAATCAATGTTAGTTGACTGAAAACCTGGAAGTTTTGCTAAATTAAGGAAACATAAGCTTCTGGACCAAAACAAATTACAGAAGAGAATTAGTCAGATATTTTTAAAAAAAAAAGTAATGTTTTCATTTATTTCACCCTCTGTGGAGTAAAAACTGGATAGGCAAGTAAGAGGAGGTAAGTTATTTTAAACTTACTGATAATTTTATTTGTTTTATTTATCTACCATCCCTTTCCCTCTCTCTTCTCTTGCCCAGTCTCTACTTTTTTAATATAGGAGGCAAAGTAATACAATGCAAACACTTGTAGCTTTGGGGTCAAAGGACCTGGGTTCATATCCTATATATGCATAACTCTGGGCCCTCAGTTTCCTCATCTAAAAAATGAGGGGTCTGGATTAGATAACTCCTGAGGTCCCTGTGAGCTCTGGATGTACTATGCTTCATATACGGAGCCCTGATCACTTGTGGACTTTTCCACAGATGGAAGAGCATCAGTTAGGACTATCCATGATCAATGTGCCAACAGTGTGCTGGGTTATAAATGTTTTTACCCTCGATGTAAGCAAAGCAGGATTTAAAAAAAAAGGGTACAGTTGTCAGAGTGTTGGATTCATAGCCAGAGAATCCAGGCTCAGATCTCGGTTCTGTCACTTGCTACCAAGTGTATAAAACCATGAAGATGTCAATCTTTCTGGGTCTCAGTGTCATCACCTGTAAAATAAGGGTGCTAGACCAGGAAACCACTGAGGTCTCTTCCAGCTCTGAACCTCTGACTTCCGAGAAAGTTACCTGTGAGGCATTCGGGTCTTGTGAATTTTCCTACAGCTAACCTTGAAAGGCAGGGGAAAAGTCAACTGATCTGGTTCCCATTTGTGCAAGGAATTGACTACTCTTCTTAGCCTGACTTGGAGCTAATAGTCCTTGACATTTTGGGGAAGCTCTAAATGGGTCTCTCAGCATCTATCTGAAAAAAGGCCTGTCTATGTAGCACATGGATCATAGCACAGCCAAAGGCACCCTGATCAGACCAAATCTATTTCTAGAGTCAAGCTTTCCACATGGGCGTCAATTTCCCTTCTCCCATTTCATACCTTCATGAATTCCACCAAAGACATGGAGTTTGGGCCGTACTCGTCTCTGCACTGTATTTAACAGTTCAACGCAGCCAACTCGCTGAAGCTCCTTGGGGACCCAGTCTCGAAAACCTGAGGGCAAAATGAAATCAATACTCTTAATTTTCTCTCTTCAGGTAAGGTTTCATTTAGACTTTCAGGAAGCCATAACTCACTGAAGGTTTATTACATTATCTGTAATCCTAACCTCTCCATTAAAGCTTACAATGCCTTTTAAGAAACTTTTCACTCATCACTTTGTCTTCTTTAGATAGTTTCAGGTTTTTTTTTTCTCCTCTTAATTAACATTTTTCCCCCGTACAGAATTTGATTTACTAGGTTTCAAATCCTCTGTGAGCTGAAACTTCGTGACATTTATTCCTGGCAGTGTTATGTGGTCTCCCACCCCCTTTTCTCTTTCTTCTGTGTCAGGGTCTATGTTTGTGTTTCTACTCTTTTTCAATTCTGTACCTTTCTCCTTATTACTTCCCTTAATGCCCCATCTACCCAAAGAGCAAGTTTACTTCTGAGATGCTCAGATTAAGGAGGGCTGGTAAGGACCACATTATACACTGGCCTCCATGCACCTGGGTCTCTCTAGACAATTCAACTCTTGGCTCTTAGTCATTTCCAGTGACCACAGCCTGGGAAAGCTAGGTTACCTCCCCAGGCTGATCACCAGTGATAGGTAACAACATGACCCATAACGGTATCCAGCAAGCTGAGGCTAATTGACTACTTTTAAAGTAAAAGCCACTTAGTTCCACACTTAATGCAGAAAATCCATAAAAAACCGACATCAATTATCACAAAAGTTGGCTGTTAGGATGGTTACAGTTTGAAATGGGATCTGTAGGAATCAGATCAGGGTGGGGGCTGGGTGTACAGGAGGAGGCTGGGAAGAGCGGTGGGTTTAGGAAGCTTTAGCACAAATCTGTCCAAAACTACCTGTCAAAAAACAAAACAAAGCAACACAGGGGCCTAAATCAAGGTAGTTTTGGACAGGTGCTGGCAAGCAAGTTGGCCATTTAATTCAGTGAAACTGAAGAAAAGAACATTGAGCCCCACTATGTGCAAAACTGGTTAAAGGCAGACCATAAATAATGGTATGTGGGATACAGAGAGGCAAAGGGGAGATATATCCCAAGAAGAGTATCTGGTAAGCACGGAAAGCTGCATATTCTGCACTGACCCAAAGGAGAGTGTAGAAGCTCTTTGAAATAGGGAAAGGTACCCACCACCAAAAATTATAGGCATATTCCTTCATTGCTTGGGTTGCTCAGTTTTTTAAGGGGGAAAAAATCACTTTTCATAGAAAATGGCCAAAGGAACGGAAGTCTCTTTTATCACTGGGTGTGCAGATGGGTGGGATGGATTTGGCCGTTTCCACTTCCCTAGCCAGAAGTGGAGAATTTAAAGATGCTTTGCAAAAGGTTATTATTTCCAGTATCCCTCAATGGGTGCAATTAGTAACATGTGCAAAATGTGCCTACAAAGTCATTCTGAAACACCCACTGCATGCTTTATTTTAAGCCCTCCCTTCCCTTTTCTTTGGAAGCTTTATAATACCAAGCTATGCCCTCCGGCTTCCCTGGTAGCACTTGGCTGATCTTAACCTCCAGTCCCAAATCTCCTTGCAGCCTCCTACTAAGGGAGGGTCAGGAAAGGCTATTAGGGAGTTCTCCTGCTGGCTCAGTGTAATGGAGAGAGGGACAGTCTCTGGAAAGCACAGTGGGGCAGTGGTGGTGGGGGGATTTCTGGGGAGGGTAAACCCGATGGGGGAAGGGCTTTTGCAAAGTTTTTCTTGGAGGCCTGGAATTTAAACATCTGTCACCACAATTTGCTTTCATTCCAGGCTGAAGGATTTGTCCAAGTTTGCAGTGAAACTGTTATGGTCCCTAAGTAACCCCAAACACATGTTTGAATGCAAGTCTCTAATCCAATGGGGGAATTGTAGAGATTTGTAGTAGTTCAGCTCTTCTCTTGTTCTGGGCCCCAAATTCTCAAGAGCTGCCCTTGTGGCTAGCACCCTTGCTCCTAACATAAATAATTTTTTTTTGATGAGGCAATTGGGATTAAGTGACTTGCCCACAATCACACAGCTAGTAAGTGTTATGTGTCTGAGGCCGGATTTGAACTCAGGTCCTCCTGACTCTAGGGCCAGTGCTCTATCCACTGTGCTACCTAGCTTCCCCCTTACCATAAATGAAAGGGACCTTAAAGGGCATCTTATCCGACCTCTTTGTTTTACACATAGAGAAATGGGGCTCCAGAGAAGTTAACTCAGGGTCATACAGCTAGTATCGAGGCAGGATTTGAACATAAGGCTTTCTGATTCCAAATCGAGTGCTCTACCCACTAATCCTTCCCAACTTTCATTTGGGAAATACAACAAATGTTTCTATTCATCTGTGAGAGGGATCAAGAAATGGTAGCAAGTAGCTTTCAAGGGAAACTGGCTCCAAATATTACATTTTTAAAAAATTTTCGTTGCAAATGGAGGATAATAGACACATGGATAACTCAAAATAGCAGAAGGTATATTGGATAGGGAACTGGTCTAAGAGTCAGTAAGACCTAGGTTTAAATCCTACCTTGGGTACTCGCAGCTATGTGACCTTGGACAAGTCACTTAAACATTCCATATCATAGCTTCCCCATCTGTAAAATGAGGAAATTGGACTCGATGGTCTTTTAGCTCTCAACCTAAGATTCTGTGATATTCTTCTTGTGGTCGTATCATGACCCTCTCCCAACCTAGACTGGTCTCCTTAGTTGTAGTTTACTTTGGCTAATATTAAATTTAATATGCATACCAGTCAGTTACTTTTAGAGACTGTCCAGGATCTTTATGGAATGAAGTGTGTCCGTCCTGGATTAAAATTTTTCCATGTATAATCCCAAATGGAGGATAAAGTTGTGGACAATTAACAATTAATCATGATAATGAACCATGATTACACTTCAATATTTTGAGGAACTATGATTTCATTGAGGGGGACACTTTTCCCCGGAGTAGATTGAGACTCCTCTGTAAAATGGTACATAGTTTTTGAGAGTGGCTTTGATCAAAATATTAACCACCCTGTGTTCAAACCTGGTAATGACCCCTTCTGAAATCTGATCCCTGAGTGACTCACATTGCACCACCTAGGTTGCACTCAAACTCTCTCATGTTTTGTAGGATGTCCCAAGAGCTTATGTTACGTCCCATTGGTACAGCCTTTGAGAGCTTAGGGTCACCTCTACTCCATCATACTCTTGTGTGCAATGATTGATCTTGATGTCATCTCTCCCATTAGAATGTCACCTCCCTGAGGGGAGAGACTATTTTTGCTTTTCTCTCTATATCTAGCACTTAACATAGTGCCCTGTGTATAGTAAGCATTTAATATATGTGTGTTGATTTGTTGATTGGAAAAAGAGTTGATCACACAAGTAAAATAATACTTTTCAAACCCATAAACTGAAAAATTGGGTTTTTTTCTTTGTTTCTTAACAAAGCACTGACTCTACTGGTTATGGGAAACTCAAATCAGACCCAGAATCTCCAGGAAAAATAACTGCTCACTGGCCATCTTCAATTTTACTTAATTTCCGTGCGTATGTTTTAGAGGGGGAGAGGAAGCACTTTCTCTCCAAATAATAAGCTCATATGTTGAACTTAAAGACTCCTTCCCCATTCCAACAAGTTGATAAAAAGGGAAATGAACTCTGAATAGAAGCTCCAGTCATTTCATGGTCATTCAAAAGCCTCCGTGATGGACTATACAGTGTGCCTCCCCCTCTCTTCCCCATAAGGTGAATACTGTTCTTAAAATAAATTATCTGCCTCAAAAGACTGTGGTGCTATATACTCATTTGATTTTCCTTGACTCCAATAAATCAAAAAATTTAATTTCAAGAACACCTGGAAGCCCAGCAGAACTGCTAAGTTTAATTATCATACTGGGCTTCTTTGAAGACATTGCTTTCCTCCTCCCTCCCATATTCCTTTTTTTTTCTTTTTGGCTACAGGAAAATGATTATGTCCCTGAAAGCATTATTCATTCTGCCTGAACAGAAAATCTCCACCATGATAAAAATGATGCCCCTTGCTTCACTTACCAAGAGGAGGGCCATGTGTCATTAGTATATCAATTCCCTCTGGGATGAGGTTCCACTTGTCCAGCAAAGACTGACCTCTGGGTAGGTTAAAGCCCCATCCATTAAACCATGGCGTCCTTTGGGAAAAATAATGCAAATGGCATCAGGCCAACAGAGCAATGTTTCATTTTTTCAGAATTTTTGACTTGCCCATCCCCTCTAGCAGTCTGTGTTTCTTTTTCTTCTCTTTTGGAAGAGTTGTCTCTTGTAGAGAGACTCTTTATGTTGTCTGCCTTCAAACCAAGACATTTAAGTGTGAACATGTGGGCTGTGGATCATTCAGTGCAAAGGGGTATGATCAGCCGAGAAAGGAACATCATAAATATAAAGGGGACAAAACTTTGGACATGCTCAGACATCAGTGCTACTTGGATTTCTGGCTCAGATCTGGAACAGTTCCACCAATAATTTAGAGGAAGAGTGCTAAAGTAAGCCTACAACTTCCTCACCAGCAATTATTCTTGGCAAAATCCTGATGGGGATCCAGAAAATGTCTTTGTGACAGATGTTTTTGTTAAAAAGCACTGCTTTGGTGAATATGAGGTTCAACAGATAGGAAATTTGGAACAATGTGGAGCCCAAGCAAAATGAGAGTGAGAGAAGAACTCAACTCAACACAATTTGATAGACAAGTGTAAAGCTTTTACCATATGCCAGGACTGTGCTAGGCACCAGAATACAAAGACAAAATCCAGCAGTCCCTGCCTCCGAGGAGCTCAAATTCTATTTGGGGGATTCTATACATCACAAGTCATTAAATACAAAGTACATACAAAAATACAGCATAGTTTCATCAGGCAGAAAGCCAACTAACTGGATACATAAGGAAAGACCTTGGATAGGAGGTGCCACTTGAATTTTGTGCTGAAGAAAGCTAGGAATTCAAAGAGGCAGAGGTGAATAGGAAGTTCATGCCAGACATGAAAAACCACTGGTGCAAATGGGTACAGAGGCAGGAGGAGAGATGTTATGTGGAATAGAGTGAGTAGGTCACTTTTTACTGGAGCAGAGAGTGCACGAAGGATAATAATGTAAAATAAGTCTAGAAGAGAAGTCAGATCACAGAAAAATATAAATACTAGGTGGAGGATATATTTTATCCTAGAGGTTATAGGAAGCCTCTGCAGATTTTTGAGTATGGGAATGACCTCATTAGTTCTACATTCTTGAAATACCTGTTTGGTAACTGTCTAAAGGAGGGAATGGGGAGGGGAAAGGCCAGAAATCAGGGAAACAAACTAGGAAGCAATTGCAAGAGGCCTGGTACATGTAAAGAAGGGGACAGGTGTGTCACATGTTGTGGTAGAAGACCTGATAAGGTCTGGTAATTAAATGGATGTTGTGGGGAAGGGAGATGAGGGAGAGGGGTGAATTGAAATAATTCTGAGGTGTGAAAACCTTAGTGACTACGAAAATGGTGTTTCCTTCATCAGAAATAGGGAAGTCTGAAAAACGGATGGGTTTAGGGGAATATAAAATTAATTCCATTACATCTACTATGGACATCTATTTGGAGATACCCAGCAAGCAACTGGTCCTGTAAGAAGAGACACAGGAGAAAGGAGAGGAGATGCTAGGGGTAGTAGAGAGGGGAAGAAACCAAGAAACAGTGAGTGTATTACTAACATGGATCCTTCTAAAAGCTACCAGGAAAGAGGTCTGTCCCCTAACCCTAAGCATGATTTCTTTTCTCCTTTGGACAACTTACTTTCTTTCCTTTCTCTGGAAATCAGTTTCTGCCAGCCATTAATAAAATGAGAGGAATGGAAGAGGTGACTTCTAAAGCCTTCCAGCTCTAAATCTACAGTTCTATGACCTCACATGGCCCGTGCTTTGAGATACACTTGCCATATTGTTTATTATAATGACTAGACTAAAAGTTTCATAAGGTAACGCACCCCAATTTACCTAAAGTTTCTACCTTGTCCATGATCAGCACAATAAATGATAATAGAACTGAACTGATTCTGGAAACCCCTGTGCTCTTTAACATGGTTCCCTTCCTGATAGCAGAAAAGATGAGTTCTTTTCCTCAAAATCAGAAGCTTTTCTTGGGAAACAAATGCTATTGCCGACATGATGGTCTGAGGGCCACCACAAACTGGGTACTATCCCTCTCCTAATAGCACACACATTCTTATCACTATAAATATCTCCATGAATTATAATAAATGCAGGAAATTTAAGTTTTTCAAAGTAAACAGAATTTTATATTCTCTCCTTCCTCATATATAACAAATATATATGTACAGTGTATGCAAGTACATATTCACATATGTATTGAATATATACACATATATGCAAATATGTTTATGTATGAATATATGCACATACATATAGATACACACAGCCCTATGTAGCAGCTAGCACCCTTGCCTTATCATAGATTGTAGATTTAGAGTTAAAATTGACTTTAGTGGCCATCTTGTCTATAAAATGAGTGTCCTCACTTTACAGATGAAGAAACTGAGGTCCAGAGAGGGTAAGTGACTTGCCCAGGATCATACAGCTAATAATAAATAAGGCAAAATTTGAACCTAGGACTTCTTCATTCCAAATCTAGAGCTCTATTCACTATCCTTCCTGTTTTCCATTTGGGAAATATGCCAAACATTCCTTTTCACTCTTATGAGATCAAGAAATAGCAGCATATATATGCATGTCTATAAGTATATTACACATCTATTTGTATGTATAGACAGGCATATATCAATGCACAGAGATATGCATGCATATATGCATCTATCTATACATACAGATATGCACATACACATATTGTCTGTGCACATGCCTGTGTCCACATGTTTATCTGCATACCTGCTATATCCCCTGAGAAGAGCTTAAGCAACTTGAGGGCAGGAATCATTTTCTATTTGGTCGTTGTATCCACAGCACCTAGAATAATGCCTTTGCTCATAACAGGTGTCTAATAAATGGCTATCGGTTGGGTCTGCATAGAAACTTGAAGAGCTTCTCAGTCTTTTACTGATTGTATAGATTTAGATGTGACCAGGTTTTTTTGAAATATCTTTTAAACCATCTTTTTTTGACCAAGGAGAGATTGAAGCTGACACACTGAAAATGCCAGCTGGGTAACCGGGCATACAATAACATGACTACTGTGTACAGCACAGAAGTGACCTGTGAACCAACCCTCCAATCACTTTGCTGTTATATAAGAGCTAAGAATAGAACACATGTTCTCTGTATATTTGGAGTCGATGGACCAGAGTTTGAATGCCAGTTTTGTCAACTTACTACCCACATGTCCTTGGGCATGTCATTAATCTCTTTAGCCTCAACTTCCTCATCTGTAAAATGAGTTGGTTGAATTAGATGACTTCTTATTCAAATCTATGATCCTAAGGATGAAGCCTATTCTAATGCAATTCAGTTCACTTCAATTCAACAGTCATTTGACTATGAGCAAGTTACTAACACTATGTGCAAAACCCTATACTAATTCTAGGGATACAAAGAGGAAAATAAAATAATCTTTCCCATCAATGGGCTTATATTCTAAGGTGAGAGGGTAGGCCATGAAAAGGATCAGAAATCAGAATGTTTCAATTTCATTTTGGTATTTCAAAAAATTTCATATTTAAAAAAGTTTCTTTCTTATACTTGTAACAATGGTAATCATCTTTGCTTGCAGAAGACAGCGTTTTTTAAACTCACTTAAGTACTATTTGATTTGCTGAATCACCAAATTTTAGGGTTCCCTTCCTCTCATTACTAGGCAGTGAGACTGGCATATACATATAAGGTTTTGGTGAAGCTAAAGGAATCCAATTACTCACATTAATGGGCTTACTTCACATCTTTTTAAAATGCTAGGGGAAACTTTCTTAGACACATGGTTTCTGGTAGTGTCGAATAAAATCCCATCATTACTATACATGGTCCATTATGTTTAGCAATCCATGACTCTAAATTTAAATTCAAGCTCCAAATTGCTAGCATCTTTTTAATTTTACTGTAAATTCATTTAGTTGCTCGTTTCTGAAAGCTCCACTGGAAAATAAAGTGTTTGATGAAATATTCAAATCCTCTCAACAGCATAAGCAAACACAAACACACTTCTTTATCAAATAACACTCATAGTGGGGCATGAACACCCCTCATATCCTCTGACAGGATAGAGGATCCAAGACCCAGGAGCTCTTAGGGTATATCTATTTGTCTTGGCTGAGAGCTTCATCTTCACAATTTGGTGATGAATATTGGAAAGAAGGAAAGAAAGAAAGAAAGAAAGAAAGAAAGAGAGAGAGAGAGAGAGAGAGAAAGAAAGAAAGAAAGAAAGAAAGAAAGAAGGAAGGAAAGAAAGAAAGAAAGAAAGAAAGAAAGAAAGAAAGAAAGAAAGAAAGAAAGAAAGAAAGAAAGAAAGAAAGAAAGAAAAAAAGGAAGAAAGGAAGGAAGGAAGGGAGGTAGGAAGGAAGGAAGGAAGGAAAGAAGGAAGGGATGGAGGGAAGAAGAGAGGAAGGGAGGGAGGAAGGAAGAAAAGATAGAAGAATGAGATAAATTAGCTAGGTAGATAGATATAGATGGTTATCTCTATGTCTATGCATATATAGCTAGATACTATTACTTGAATTTTTTATAACCCCCTAGTAAGAATGAGTCTGTGGTGCTCCTGATTTTAGATATATAGCCATATTGGGTGGAAGATGGCAACATTACACAGAGCTACTCTAGAGATACTTAAGATTTGTTTTCCACCAAACTGAATCCAAAATGTTTTAAGTCACACTAAATTCAGAGACTTGAAAGCAAGTTATTACCCGCTGGCTGAGGCTGACCTTTTGACCACATGATAAATATTTGCTGAATCAAAATCCCATCTTGGTCCACTAGATGGAAGGATATAGTACTTTGTAAATAGAACCAGGTGAGGCTCTTTTGGTTTTCTTCGTAGAATCAGAGCTGGAAGAGACCATCTGGGTCATCCCTCCCGTTCTATAGACGAGTTCAGAAAGTGAAATAAATTGTCCAAGGTCATTCAGTCAGTCAGTCAGTCAGTCAATAAGTACCTACTCCCTGCCACTCTGTTTCTCTGCACTGGGAATATGATCACAAT